TGACAACGTAAGGAGTCCGAAATGTCATAGGGGAAAAGAGAAGAGATAGATCAAAGGACTGTCAAGAATGTGGGATAGTTTTCCGAAAATAGTTTTTGAGGAAATGTAAAAGAGATTTAATTGACACTGGGATTGGGATCGAAAAATTCGCAGTGCAGGTGATGGGGATGGGAAAACAAATTATGGAGCAGCAAGTTCGGAATACAATGGAAAAAGAAAGTTGGAATAATGCTAAAATAATTTTCTAAGGTAATCTAGTGGGTGTAAGAATAGAGGTATGTGTAGACTATATAAAGAGAATAGAAACAAATAGAAGGAAAGTGAGTGAGAGAGTTGGAAGATGAGGTATGCAGTTAAGTATGAGATATGAAGGAAAGTTTCTAGATGGAGAGGGAGAAACGGGTAGTGTTTAAAAAAAGGAAGGAAGTCAAGAGGTGAGTAGAAAGTGGACATGAGGGAATGAGAAAACAAGATTTCTGACGAGATATTGTGTGTTTATTGTATTTGGTGGTAAAATGAGGGAATGGGCTTGAGGAATTCATTCCGTAAGTGTAGTGCGTGGTTTTTTCTCGGGTGGGGGGATGGCGCGCGGTGGTGGTGGTGTTACACGCTGTATGGTGGAGATTCGGCGACAACCTAACCGTCGCTTAGCCGGTTCCTTCGCGCATGTATCCTCCCTCCAGCGGGCACGCTCCAGGCCAGACAAGCTCTAAGCTCCCGACCGGCGCATTCGGCCATGTTATGGTAGTTGTAGTGCAGTGCTAAAGGTGCGGATAGGAACAAAGAAAAGAAAAGGAAAGAAAGATCCGCGCGCACCATGGTTTTGTTTTGTGAGGGTACTGTTTCGTCATTCGTCAGGTGTTGATCAAAAGCCACGGAAAGCTACCGATCACATGCAATAGAATTCTCCTGCAGACGGGCGAACTGAATTTTCGACCTAGCTGACAAGGTAGTTGTTTGAAATCGTGCCAGTGTCGGGACTCGAACGTAGGCCCTTTCGGTCAGAGGACTGCAGTGAAACAGTTGACACCCGAGCCAATCTCTCCTGGTTGTCCTCCGATCGCATGCCGTACGACGCATTATAATCCGACTCCGTCCATCTTCCTACCCTGTCTATCGCGCCGACTGTTGGCAGTCGTCATCACCAGGACCCACACCGCTGCCTCCCCCCCCCCAGCCAGGAACCGATCCTTCTCGTCCATGGCTTGAGAGCATCCGCGTGCGACGAAGGGGGGGCAGGGGTGGGGGGGAGGGCGGGGTGGAGGGGAGAGAGCAGAGGCGGCGGCGCGAACAATTTATCATCAAATAAATCAGGATTAACGGCGGGAAACCCTGGCTTCACCGCTGATGAATTCCATCCTTAATTTATGCTCATTTTTTACCGGCACTCTGACCTCCATTCTCCGAAGGAATGTGACCCAGTTCCACGGAGGACCTTGAAGATTTTTACGTTTTAATCATAAACTTTTGGCTCAAATTAGTCAGAATTTATCTAAATGAAGTAAGGGTTTTAAAATATTCTTCTACGAGCTGATTTAGGGTTCTACAGTCCTTAGTGTTTTTGGAAACTAATGCATGAAAGAAAAAATACTTCTTTTTTGGAACGTCTTTAAATGCACTAATTTTCTTTAAAGATAACCTCAAATCTGACCATTGATAAATGGATCAGTGGATTGAGGTCGACACTGAAAGCGATATCGCGCAGACATTTAAACACAGTTCCATCCAAGTGTCACAAAGACGATTTCATTTGGAAACTAACTTGCTACAAATTAAGGCGCAAAAAGCAAATAGTGGGAGTCAAATCGTGTGTTGACTACGTTGAAGTCCGGAAAAAAGAAGACTTACTGTTTGTATTTTCGTGTCTAACATTTATCACTAGAACAGTATTTTAATATGGAAAACATTTTTATACTTTTTGTCTCGATTAGAAACAATTGTTTCATTGGAGAATAAAATGTTCCATACAAAAATTGCAATTAATTTCGTAATGCCTTTATTAAAAATGCAACTGCGCAGTTGAAATGAAATAATTTTGACAGGAGTGCTCTACTTTTGTAGTTTTCGTAAAAAGAACAATGTCAACTTTTTGAAATGGGAATTTTAATTTACAGAACAGAAATTGGAAGAACAAGAACCATTGATTTGGCGAATAAATAGAAATAAATTATTCTAATGCACGGGCACCGTGAACATGTGCAGTTAAAGTAACCTTTTAACTAGTAATGGAGTCAAACTTTGTATTAATATATAAGGGAATTATAAATATTCTAAAACAAGATTTTCCCAATTTCATAGGATATTGTATACATATTAAGCTAAAAAATATTCTATTACAAATTTTTCCAACACTAAACTAACATTGTCTTCACCATTTGTTTTTAGACTATTATTATTATTCGTCCTCTCAATCACGTTCTCTATGGTTGACAAAATGTTACTCGTACATTTGCCATTTCCGATAACAACAACTTAAAGAAAAAACATTTGAAGTGATGCCAGTCATTCACAATATAAACATCGTAAAATTACTCTCCCGCAATAAAACCCTCCGGTATTGCAGAGTTCTTAAAAATGCAATTTCTCTTTAAAAATATCATCTCTCTCGAAGAGCAACACGTGAAGGGGCGTGGGTGGAGGAGGTTGGCCAACGGGGCCGCGGCGGCGCCACGGGGAGCGCTGCTGGGGTGTAATGAGAACGGCTAATGAGCGCATGGGGGCGGAGCGGGAAGGGATGGGGGCGGAGCGGGGGCGAGCCAACTTCTATTGTGTGCTACGAAGTTTGGCGCGGCGCGGCGCGGCGCGGGCAAGCCAGAGCAGGGCAGGCGAGACGCACGGAAACAAACCGGCCAAAACACCCCGCCACACCCACCCCCTCCTCCCGCTCTCTCGTTCGGCATTTCGGCGATCAATAATTCAGACGAACCCTTCGCAGGGCGAGGGACTTATTATCGGCCGCGTGGCTCGCTCTCGTTGTGCCAGCTTTGCCACCTGCTCCGGACGCTGCCTAGGCCGCTATTCGGGGACAGCCTCGCCCCTTGTTCCTCAGGCAACGTGCTTCTGAGCGATGAAAGCACATGTAAGATGTTTAGGAAATAAATGGTTGTTGAAAGCAGCATTTCAGCTTGTTTATGTGCCAACGTAGTTTGTTAAGAGAAAAATAATATTCCACATACCTTCATTTTAGATTCACCCCCAACAGAATAGGTTAAATAAATTTATTTATTGTTTCTCAATGTAGTTTTAATGGCTCAAATACATGTATCAGTTCCCATTATTAAGGTCCGTTGAGGTAAAGTAAATTCCTCAATTATGTTTAATTTTGAATGAAACAAACACACGAGAAGTCATATTTGAGGTTGTGCGTATAATTATCCTTTTTGAAGGTGGTAACGCGTGTAAAATCTGAAATTCTAAGAAGCCAGTTCAACTTCAATTTCATCCCGAATTATAAACGTAAAAAACACCTACTCCCTAAATTAATGTAACACTGCAGAATTTAATAAAATTAAAGAGGAAGAATTCTGGTAGATACTATGGAAAATTACTTAATTTAACCGAATGCTCTACTCCGAAGAAGGTTAACAGACAAATTTTGAAGTCGATTTGAGAAACAAATTGTTAATTTAGCATCTTGGAAGGGCTCATCGACAGCATATTACTTCCCGTGGAGTGATCAAGGATCGATTCCCGTCGAGGAATAAAGTGTAATAGCTTTTTTTAAGTCGTCTCTAGTTTTCGTAGCTGTGTGCGGAAAAATGCCTCAGGCAAGGCGAGTAGTTTGGTTATTTACAAGAATGGGAATACGGTCCTGTTTCTTATCTCTCAACATGAGAATTAAATCTACCGTGGCAGGCATTGGGGACACCATTTAGCTTAGAGAATGCAAAGTCGTACAGTCAACAAAAAAATCGAAAAAAAAGAGAACATAACGTATTTTTAAATCCCTGTAAGATCAGTTAAAGAGAACTTTGAAAGTTCGTCTTTATACCCTCTTTGTAAAAGTGCTTCCAACAGGAAAATTGGCCACTGGTGGACATAATAGCTTTTTCGAATAACACTTCGCGTTAATGTATTTTTATTTCTGGCCACTGCTAATGCAGAAGAGAGCTAAGTTTTGGTATAACATTCTAAAGAGTGCCTGTGTTCTTGGAAGGGTTTCCGGCGATGGTGCTCTTGTTATGTGTGGCTAGAACGCACAAAACCACCGCGCTGGACGTCAATGTGCAAGCCGCAGCCCTTGTGCCTATGGAGCTTTGGAGGGTGTAACAGTGTAACGCGGCTGTGGCTTGTGTGTGCTAGGAAGGAGAACCACACAGTGGAGACGCCCGTGCGCACGCCGGAGCGCTGAGCGTAGGAAGAGTTGCCTGTGTGCTGGCAGGGTAACCGCTGTGTGCTTGTGTGTGACTAGAAGGAGAACCGCTGCTGAAACGCAGTCGCATGGCCGGCAGCGCTGAGGTAGAATAGTGCCTGTGTGCGACAGGGAGTAACCGCTGTTGCTTGTGTGTGGCTAGGAAAGGAACAGCACGCTGAGACGTCCGTTGCACATGCCGGAGCGTCTGAGCGTGAGAAGAACGTTCCTGTGTGCACGGAAGTGTAACCCTGTGTGTTGTGTGTGCTAGGAAGGAGAACGACCCGGACGCCATGCGCATGCCGGAGCGCTGAGCGTAGGAGAGTGCCTGTGTGCTGGCAGGGAGTTAAAACGCTGTGGTGGCTTGTGTGTGCTAGAAAGGAGAACCGAACCCTGGACGGCACGGTGCGCATGCCTGGAGCGCTGCGTGCGCCTGGACGCCGCTACACGCACGCGCCTACCTGCCTGCTACGCAAGCTCTACTTCTTGCACTGGGGCTATGCAGCGCGAGGTGGGGGCCCGGGGCTGCTGCGCTTGTGACACCCTGCAGTAGCCGCGTCTCCCCCCCGACCACCGCGCAGAGCTCGCCGATTGGTGCAGGCGCAGGGTGAGTCACAATTTCCTTTTCGACGTTCTGGTTACCTACGTTCTATGAAGTAAGAACCTGTAATTATATATAAATGAACATTTTGCCAATTATTTATAGGGCATACACACACAAGCACACAGCGGTTACTCCCTGCCAGCACACAGGCACTCTCCTACGCTCAGCGCTCCGGCATGCGCATGGCGTCCAGGGTTCGGTTCTCCTTCCTAGCACACACAAGCACACAGCGGTTACACTTCCGTGCACACAGGAACTCTTCCACGCTCAGCGCTCCGGCATGTGCACGACGTCCAGCGTGCTGTTCTCCTTCCTAGCACACACAAGCACACAGCGGTTACTCCCTGTCAGCACACAGGCACTATTCTACGCTCAGCGCTGCGGCATGCGCACTGCGTTCAGCGAGCGGTTCTCCTTCCTAGCACACACAAGCACACAGCGGTTACTCCCTGCCAGCACACAGGCACTCTCCTACGCTCAGCGCTCCGGCGTGCGCACGGCGTCCACTGTGTGGTTCTCCTTCCTAGCACACACAAGCACACAGCGGTTACACTGTTACACCCTCCAAGCTCATAGGCACAAGGCTGCGGCTTGCACATGACGTCCAGCGGGTGGTTTTTCGTTCTAGCACACATCACAGAGCACATTCGCGGTAAACCCTTCAAGAACACAGGCACTCTTTAGAATGTATACCAAACTTGCTCTCTTCTGCATTAGCAGTGGCCAGAAATAAAAATACATTAACGCGAAGTGTTATTCGAAAAGCTATTATGTCCACCAGTGGCCAATTCCTGTTGGAAGCACTTACAAAGAGGTATAAAGACGAACTTTCAAAGTTCTTCTTTACTGATCTACAGGGATTAAAAATACGTATGTTCTCTTTTTTTTCATTTTTTGTTGACTGTACGACTTTGCTCTCTAGTAAATGGTGTCCCCAATGCCTGCACGTAGTTTAATTCTCATGTTGAGAGATAAGAAACATGACGTATTCCCATCTCTGTAAATAACCAACTCCGCCTGCCTGAGGATTTCTTCGTCACACAGCTACGAAAACTGAGACGACTTAAAAAAAGCTATTACACTTTTATTCCTCGACCGGGAATCGATCCTGATCACTCCACGGGAAGCTAATATGCTGTCGATGAGCCTTCCAAGATGCTAAATTAACAATTTGTTTTCTCAAATCGACTTCAAAATTTGTGTTTAACCTTTCTTCGCGAGTAGAGCATCGTTAAATTTAAGTTAATTTCCATAGATATCTACCAGAATTCTTCCTCTTTAATTTTATTAAATTCTGCAGTGTACATTAATTTTAGGGAGTAGTGTTTTTTTACGTTTATAATTCGGGATGAAATTGAAGTGAACTGCTTCTTAGAATTTCAGATTTTACACGGTACGCACCTTTCAAAAATGGATAATTATTACGCACAACCTCAAATATACTTCTCGTGTGTTTGTTTCATTCAAAATTAAACATAATGAGAATTACTTTTACCTCAACGACCTTATAATGGGAAACTGATACGATGTATTTGAGCCATTAAAACTACATTGAGAAACAATAAATAATTTTATTTTAACTATTCTGTTGGGGGTGATCTAAAATGAAGTATGTGAATATATTTTTCTCTTAACAAACTACGTCTGGCACATAACAAGCGAAATGCTGCTTTCAACAACCATTTATTCTCCTAATACATCTTACATGTGCTTTCATCGCTCAGAAGCACGTTGGCCTGAGGAACAAGGGGGCGAGCTTCCCCGAATAGCGGCCGTAGCAGCGTCCGGAGCAGGTGCAAAGCTGGCACAACGATGAGCGAGCCACGCGGCCGATAATAAGTCCCTCGCCTGCGAAGGTTCGTCTGAATTATTGACCGCGAAATGCGAAACGAGAGAGCGGGAGGAGGGGTGTGGGTGGGCGGGGTGTTTTGGCGGTTTGTTTCGTGCGTCGCCTGCCCTGCTCTGGCTTGCCGCGCCGCGCCGCGCCGCGCCAACTCGTCAGCACAATAGAAGTTGGCTCGCCCCCGCTCCGCCCCATCCCTCCCGCTCCGCCCCCATGCGCTCATTAGCCGTTTCATTACACCCCAGCAGCGCTCCCCGTGGCGCGCGCGGCCGCTCGTGGCCAACCTCCTCCACCACGCCCCCTTCAACGTGTGCTCTTCGAGAGAGTGATATTTTTAAAGAGAATTGCATTTTTAAGAACTCTGCAATACCGGATAGGGTTTTATTGCGGGAGAGTTAATTTTACGATGTTTATATTGTGAATGACTGGCATCACTTCAAATGTTTTTTCTTAAGTTGTGTTATCGGAATGCAAATGTACGAGTAACATTTTGTAACCATAGAGAACGTGATTGAGAGGACGAATAATAATAATAGTCTAAAACAAATGGTGAAGACAATGTAGTTTTAGTGTTGGAACAAATTTGTAATAGAATATTTTTTAGCTAATATGTATACAATATCCTATGAAATTGGGAAAATCTTGTTTTAGAATATTATAATTTCCTTATTATATTAATACAAAGTTTGACTTCCATTACTAGTTCAAAAGGTTACTTGTAACTGCACATGTTCACGGTGCCGCGTGCATTAGAATAATTTATTCTATTTATTCGCCAAATCAATGGTTCTTGTTCTTCCATTCTGTTCTGTAAATAAATTCCCATTTCAAAAGTTGACATTTTCTTTTTACGAAAACTACAAAAGTACGAGCACTCCTGTCAAAATTATTTCATTTCAACTGCGCAGTTGCATTTTTAATAAAGGCATTACGAAATTAATTGCAATTTTTGTATGGAACATTTTATTCTCAATGAAACAATTGTTTCTTTAATCGAGACAAAAAGTATAAAAATGTTTTCCATATTTAAATACGTTCTAGATAAATGTAGACACGAAATACAAACAGTAAGTCTTCTTTTTTCCGGACTTCAACGTAGTCACACACGATTTGACTCCCACTATTTTGCTTTGGGCCGCTTAATTTTGTAGCAAGTTAGTTTCCAAATGAAATCGTCTTTGTGACACTGGATGAACTGTGTTTGAAATGTCTGCGCGATATCGCTTTCAGTGTGCGACTCAATCCACTGATCCATTTACAACTGGTCAGATTTGAGGTTATCTTTAAGAAAATTAGTGCATTTAAGACGTTCCAAAAAAGAAGTATTTTTTCTTCATGCATTATTTCAAAAACACTAAGACTGTAGAACCCTAAATCAGCTCGTAGAAGAATATTTTAAACCCTTACCTTCATTTAGATAAATCTGACTAATTGAGCCAAAAGTTATGATTAAAACGTAAATAATCTTCAAGGCCTCCGTGGAACTGGGTCACTTCCTTCGGAGAATGGAGTCAGAGTGCCGTAAAAAATGAGCATAAATAAGGATGGAATTCATCAGCGGTGAAGCCAGGGTCCCGCCGTAATCCTGATTTATGATGATAAATTGTTCGCGCCGCCGCCTCTGCTCTCTCCCCTCCACCCGCCCTCCCCCCCACCCCTGCCCCCCTTCGTCGCAGCGATGCTCTCAAGATGGACGAGAAGGATCGGTTCCTGGCTGGGTGGGGGAGGCAGCGTGTGGGTCCTGGTGATGACGATGCCAACACGCGGCGCGGATAGACAAGGGTAGCGAAGATGACGGAGTCGGATTAAATGCGTTCGTACGGCATGCGATCGGAGGAACAACCAGGAGAGATGGCTCGGGGTGTCAACTGTCACTGCAGTCCCTCTGACCGAAAGGGCCTACGTTCATGTCTCGACACTGGCACGATTTTCAACACTACCTTCGCAGATAGGTCGAATTCAGTCGCCGTCTGGAGGAGAATTATATTGATGTGATCGGTAGCTTTCCGTGGCTTCTGTGATCAACACCTGACGAATGACGGAACAGTACCCTCACAAACAAACCATGGTCCGCGCGCGATCTTTCTTTCCTTTTCTTTTCTTTGTCCTATCCGCACCTTTACACGCACTACACTACCATACATGGCCGAATGGCCGGTCGGGAGCTTAGAGCTTGTCTGGGCTGGAGCGGTGCCCCGCTGATGGGAGATACATGGCTGAAGGGAAACCGCGCTAGCCGACGGTAGGTTGTCGCCGAATCTCACCATACAGCGGTGTAACACCACCACCACCGCCGCCATCCCCCCCACCCGAGAAAAACACGCACTACACTTACGGAATTAATTCCTCAAGCCCATTCCTCATTTACCACCAAATACAATAAACACACAATATCTCGTCAGAAATCTTGTTTTCTCATTCCCTCATGTCCACTTTCTACTCACCTTCTTGACTTCCTTCCTTTTTTTAACACTACCCGTTTCTCCCTCTCCATCTAGAACTTCCTCATATCTCATACTTAACTCATACCTCATCTTCCCAACTCTCTCACTCACTTTCCTTCTATTTGTTTCTATTCTCTTTATATAGCTACACATACTCTATTCTACACCCATAGATTACCTTAGAAAATTGTTTTAGCATTATTCCAACTTTCTTTTTCCATTGTATTCCGAAATTTCTGCTCCATAATTTCTGTTTCCCATCCCCATCACCTGCACTGCGAATTTTCGTCCCAATCCCAGTGTCAATTAAATCTCTTTTACATTTTCCTCAAAACTATTTTCGAAACTATCCCACATTTCTTGACAGTCCTTTGATCTATCTCTCTTGTTCCCCTATGACATTTCGGACTCCTTACGTTGTCATGTTCCTTTAACCATTCTTGTCTTTACTTCAAGTCATCATCTAACACTTTTGTACATTCGGTGTCATCTTTCTATTATTCAGAAATTTTTGCTAACCTTCTAATGCACTATTCAGACCTCACACATTTCTTACCATCATCACAAAATCGTCGGCAAATGCTAGTAACGAAATTTTCCCGTTCAATATGATCTTACTCCACGTCCTTCGTATCACCTTTCACCCAATCAACTGTCCAACCCTCCTCACCCGTTGTTATACCTCCTCTTTCATCTCCCTACTTCAGTTTCCCTTCTCGTATCTTGCAGTTTACACTTACAAAATCTCACTTTTATATTTATTTCCAATATAC